TTGAATAAGAAAGAAGTTGATTTTCGCTTGACACCCCTGTTCGATTAACCCGCAAGATTGGCATGTTATTTATTACCAGAGCGGGATATGATTTTTTTGAAAATGTCAGTTGAAAGTGTGTCAAGGATGTCGGATTAGATCAAGAGATGGATGAAATGGACCCCATTGGCCATGAAGAAGACCAACCAATGGGAGACGCAATGATGGAAGAAGCTCCAGGTGGAGATGATGTCACAATTAAGACAGTGATTGAATACATGGTCAATTTTTGGGAGCATATTGATTCCCTTATGAGCGGAATGCGAGCTGATATTACATCATTGCATGATAAAGTCTCTATCCTGCGTGACGAATTACGTCAACGAAATCAAACGAGTTAGGTAATTAATTATTTATGTTTCTAAACATTACACGTTATATAATGTATTTTCTTTTCTTTTAACAGATGTGGACAACCAAGCGCTCAATGAAGATGACGATGATTATGATGATCCAAACAAGTATATTGTGTCTACAACGCCGCCTAAAAGAAAACTTGTAATTTTTTATGTCAATGGTGTACTTGCCTACTTACCAAGACATTCAAAGGTTTTAATTCTATTCATTTGTATCCATTATTTTAACATATAAGCGTACAACTTTAATCTCATTTTCTTCATATTGTAGATGTTATCCTCATAATAGGAGTATATGAATTTATACATTTTTAGTCAACAATTTTGTTTTTTCCATTTGGTTTTCTAAGATAAGGTTAGAACTGTTGAGCAATTGAATTACTATAGCCAAAATCGTTAATATACAATTAAATGTTAACATTCAAACTTGATTACAATCTCAGGCATAACATCGACCGTGTACTTCAGAAACTACCTTTTTTGTCTGACCATTTTCTATTCATTTGGGTAAGATGAATGTCATTACACTTTGCTAACTTTTATTTGTCTATGATTCCTACATATTTATGTTCAACTGTTTGTGAACAAAATCAAACAAAGTGCAAAAAATACGATAATATTACCTACTGTAAAGATCTCAATGATGTTTGGAACGTGTATCCTGATTTTAACGACCTAAATAATTGTTGGTCGATGATTCAACATGAAAAATGATTTATAATCAGGTAAGTTATATTTATGCCATATGTTTTTCCAGTTAAACAGGTGTTCATACATTGATTTATTAACAATTTATGTTTTTATATAGAAATACAATTACATATGTCCACATCCCTTCGACGCTGCTTCTTATTCGGAACAACAATGCTCTAGGTATGACACAAATTTATTCCTGCTTATGTGAATTTAGTTTCTTGTTAGTAAAATTGCACCTGATTAGTTTGATAATTGAAATTATTTATATATGTCCTTAGAAAAAGGTGGTAACATACGAGAGTATTTGGAAAATTTGTTGAAGGCGCCTAATGTTCCAGACTTAGTTAGAAATAACCCTTTTTCATCGGATTAATTTCATTTTGGGTACATTATTTGAACATTGTTATGTATAAATTTTTTGTGTTTGTATGTTTTGGTTTGATTATATTGTGTTTATATTTTTATTCGATTTAAAAAATACTAAAACATATAACAGTAACTATGTCTTATACAGTAAATATTCCATTTGGATGGGTTGTGCATAACAAAACAATCTATCTATCTCTCCATGTGAGTACTTTATTCTCATGTGACAAGTGTGACAACCCCATCAACTCACAACCCGCTTGGTTCATAATGCATGTTACTTGAATAGTATGAATCAATTATGCAATTTCAATGTTCAATTAAACATTGCATTTTATGTTCATTTCATATTTAATTGGAGTTTGAATTTAAATTTCAATATAAATTTCAGCTTCATTATAAATATTAGCCCGAGACTTTGTTCCATCCAAACAACAACTTACTCAATGGAAACATCGGGAGGTAACATCAAATTCTATTTCTAAGGTAACAACTTACCTTTTTCAAAACTTATTAACTTAGACAATATGCATGTTATCATTGATTATTCCTAATTTCCATTGTTATTTTTTCTAACTTTAAACGGGAAGGAAATCCCAACCATCGTAATTTTTCGTTAACAAGAAGGAAGATTGAATATATGAAGAATGCCTTTCGGATACTATCCATTTTAGCCAGCTCATTGAGATAGGTTAACCCTAAATCAAAACCATCTTAGCCAAACATATTTGATGTAGAAGCAGCTGTAGATTTAAAATCTCAATGATGATGCATTTGGTTCTCAAAATATGAAAGCGTCAGAAACGTTTCGGACGTATGATATGGGTGGTATATGGGAAATGAAACAAATGGAAACTAAAAATCCCAATAATTGAGGGCTACAACTTGTAATAATAATAAAAATAATTGAAGGGTACACGTGTATAAACTATCGATACTTTGCTAAATTAACAATGTAAACGGTAAAATTCTACACGTGCAATGATAATAAGCTTACGTGACAAGTGTCTCAACTTGTCATTTACGACTATTTTCATTATATCGGAGAACTTTTATCCGTTTACATTGTTAATTGTACCGGTACTTGTGCATTACGTGTGTATCTTCCATTATTTAACATTATTATTAAAAGATCTAGTGTTTAATTCTCGAGAATTTTGTGTTGCATTTTGTTGCATTATCCGTGTACCACCCAAATCATAAGTCTGAAATGCTTCTGATGCTTTAAATGTTTGAGAACCAAATGGATCGCCTTCGAGATTTTAAATATGCAGCTGCTTCTACATTAGCTATGTTTCTCTCAGATTGTTTCGGTTTACGGTTATCATATCTTCATGAGCTAGATTAAATGGATAATATTCAGAAGGCATTCTTCGCATATCCAGTCTTCCTGCTTGTTACTCAAAATTATGATGGTCGGGATTTCCCTCGCGTTTCATTTAAGTTGATTGCTCCGAATTTATAACGACATTTGATCTCTGAATCGTTATTGGTTGATTGGTCGGGCTTTTATATCCATATTTGCTTCTCTGTAAACAGATACATTTGAGGATTGTTATCCTATAAATACTAGTTATTAATGTATTTTATAACTGCTTGCAAATGTATCGAAACACATTATTAAAGAATCGTTTTCTACAATCTCCACAACAAAGTTTCCATAGTTAGAATTTCTAAATCGGTTAAAATTTGAGAAAACGGTAAAAATTTAAACAATCGATTAAATATAACAGATTGAAAATTGACACAACCGGTTTCTCTAATTTCGCCTATAAAGTATCGGTAACTTACAAACATGTATCAACACATAAAGTTTCCAAACATAAAGTTTCCAAAAAAGTGTCGATACATTATTAAAAGTATCGATCCTCAAAATATCGAAACCGATTATTATAAAGTAATAGGTAAAATATACCGTTTAATGAGAGAATAGGTAAAAAAATGTGTCGATATATTTATTAAAAGTATCGATCCCAAAAACATCGAAACCGATAATTTTAATGTAATAGATAAATTTACAATGTAACTGGTAGAAATATACCAGTTTTATGAGAAAATAGGTCTACATAATGTATCGACACTTTTTAAATTTTTGTCTATACTTTTTGTCCATAATGAATGACAAACTAGGTGTACGCATAAAGTATCGATATATTTAAAATTGTATCGATCCCAAAAACATCATAACCGATAATTACAATGTAATAGGTAAATTTAAAATGTAACCGGTAGAAATATACCGGTTTTATAATAGAATAGGTCAATATAATGTATCAACACTTTTTATATTTGTGTCGATACTTTTTTTCCAGAATGAATGACATACTAGGTGCACGCATAAAATGTTGATACATTTAAAATTGTATCGATCCCAAAAACATTGAAACCGATAATTATAATGTAAAGGTAAATTTACAAAGTAACCGGTATAAATATACCGATTTTATGAGAAAATAGGTCTACATAATGTATTGACGCTTTTTAAATTTGTGTCGATACTTTTTGTCCAGAATGAATACCGTTTATGTTATCCTTGGTTACATTTTAGGCGTTTACCTAATAGGTTGTGATAACAAATTAAGTAATTAACCTATTTTATTATATAAGCGGTACCTATTACGTTATATTTTACGTTATATAAGCACTACCTAATATGTTATTGTGCTTGATAATGTTTCCAATAATTAACCTATTTTATTATATAAGTGCTACCTATTATATTATATAAGCGATACCTAATATGTTATTGTACTTGATAATATTTATGGTTAAATGATATAACATAACCGGTCTAAATTTTAACCAGTTACATCATTTTTTAGCCCTTTTTTAACCGCCGCACAACAGAACCTCCCTGCAATCCACACTATAAACAACTCCTCTCCTCTCCCTCGTAAAAAATGTAAAATACATCACATATCTAAAAGGTATAATGCTAAAATTAGCCCCCAACATTAATCAAAATAATAATTTTGTCCCTTATTCTATATTTTGAACATTTTAACTTCTAACGTTTCATTTAAGGTAAAAATGACCATAACATTTGACATAATAACCACTTTATCCTTTATATTTTTCTTCGTGGCACTTTAACCCTCAACGTTTGATTTTAGGTTTAAAAGACCTATATTTTAGAGCGTTAATCATGTGTTAACTGGTGGCGAATCCATAAATATATTTTTTAGAATGGGCACATATGTATTACTAATAGAAATTTTTCGTATGGGGTAGGCATAAATAAAATTTCAAGATAGGTACAAATAGTAAAATGAACAACTAGCATAAAGAAATTTAGATTCCAAGGTCGCCCTGGAATACACATACGTCTGCCACTGGTATTAACTAATATTTTTCATTTATAAAGAAGTTTTTCTCCCAAAGTGCTCTAAAAAAATAATAGGAGCTAAAATGACCATTTTAATAAACGTTGGGGCTATTTTTGAAATTATTCCTATCTTAAATTATATAAGGTCTTTATATAATATGAATAAAATTATTCCATTTCTTTTAGGAAAAAAATAAAAGAAAAACAGTTTTTAAAAGTCAAGTACACCTATCTCCCTTCCAAGCTTCCTCATCTCTCATCATCTTTCCCAAAAACTGAATCTTCTTTCCCTAGAATGGAACAGTTGAGTTTCTTTGTGGGTCTTATAGGTAAACTTCTACAAAAACATCAAAAATCTTTTTGTATCCCATAATATACAGTTTCTCTAACAACTTGTACATATGTTCTTCTTCTTGCAGGCAATGTTATCTCAGTTCTGGTTTTTCTTTCTCCAGTGTAAGATCCACAAAAATCTAACAAATCTAAACCCTTTTTGCTTTCATTTAATGTATTTTTTTCCTTTTTGAAGAGGGACATTTTGGAGGATAGTAAAGCATGGATCAACTGAGGATTTCGAGTCTCTTCCATACGTTTGTACATTGTTGAATTCGAGCTTATGGACTTACTATGGAATCACTAAGCCCGGAGCTTATCTTGTTGCCACTGTTAATGGCTTTGGCATCCTGGCTGAAGCTGTCTATGTTGTTTTGTTCCTCGTATATGCACCAAGAAAGATGAGGGTAGATAAATATGTGTAAAACTAAAAGAATTTTACACAGATTTAAGATCGTTGGATGAGTAAAAATAGATGACTAAGATTACCGGTTGAAAATGAGAAGTTATTCACTGGAAAAAAGAAAAGAATCAATCTCAACTATTTATTTTCACTCATCCAACGGTTCTAATTCTTGCAAAACTCCTTAATTTTACATTGTGTAAATGGATACTAACCCCGAAATAAATTGCAAATCAAATAAATCAAAAGGTTTTTATTTTTATGAGTGAATTTGCAGGTGAAGACTGGGATTTTGGTAGGGATATTGGATGTGGGATTCCTAGCAGCAGCTGTTTTGGTTACTCGTTTAGCATTGGAAGGAGAATCTCGAATCGATGCAATAGGGTTTGTGTGCGCCGGCCTTAACATCATAATGTATGGCTCCCCTTTAGCTGCCATGGTAAGACCTTTTTATTTCATCTATAATATATCCAATTTCTTTCATTCATCCCATATTTTAATTCTCATCTTTTAAGATATCTATGGTAAAGTATACAAATGGTATTGTTTTGTTGAGTCCCTCGATTATTAAAAGTTATAAAATGGTCTTTCGACTATAGGGCATTGCTTTGTTGCGTCCCTCGACTATTAAATGCTATCAAATGTCACCTGACTATTCATATATTTCAAGCTCGTCTTTTTTCATTAAAAATTGACGATCGTCTGATCAGTACATTAACATGCTGACTGAGATATGATAGTCGTTTGAGATTTTAGGATCGAATTTTATCATATCTCAATGAGCATGTTAACATCCAGCTCAGATTGTCGACAATGTTTTAACAAAAAATGATGAGTTTGGAACATGAATAGTCATGTGGCCATTTTGTAACTTTTAATAGTCGGAGATTCAACAAAGCAACGCCTTATAATTAGAAGATCATTTTGCAACTTTTAATAGTTGAGGAACTCAACAAAATAACACCCTATAATTGGGGACCATTTGTATACTTTACACAAAAATGAAATATGGTATTGGAAACATAAATTCTTTATTTGTTTTTCTCTTTTTGTAAAGAAATTCAAACTATAGGTCTAACTTTTAACAATCTTATATACCAAGTTTTTAGAAAATTAAATTATGGTATAAATATGTGCGACGTTGCTTGCATTTGGCCCTCATGTTTTAGGGTCACGGGGACCATTTGCAATAATACTGGTAGTTCATCTATCCTTTCCTTTTCCGTTTTTATTTTTGAGTTGTACTTTCACTTTGTGGGAAAAATAATTAAAAAATTAAAAATATGAGAAAACAAAAATTAATTAAAAATACCATAAAAATATGAGAAATAAAAGCTATTTTGGTGATTAAAAAAAATTAATGATCAGAAAACCATGTCAATGGCTTTTTAAAATAAAATTAGTTTTAATTTTTGTTTAAAAATGATAAAAGATCAAAGCGTGATATATGGTCATTTTATGAAATAGTAACCTAATAGTATTTGTGATATTATATGAAACCTAATATTTAAATTTAACAAATTTAATACTCAAATTTGGTACCTTTTGATAAATCCAAGCTTGAATAATAAAAAAAATCATCTGTCCAAAGCTTAATCTAACTCATAAAAATCTAAGATAATTTTCCATACTAGTAAATAATTTTTCATTATAACAATAAAATATTGTTTTCATATACTAGTGTTCATAGAAAATATTTCGAGGAAAACATTAGTGAATCGACGATCAAATTCATATTTAATCATAATTATTTAAAATTCATTATCTTTATCATTTTATTTGTGATTATTGTTAAATACATTTTTAAAAAAAATATATTTTACATAGAATAATTTTCCCCACATTATAAAATTTTGAAAAAATCTAATATATCGTAAAATCTCTATAAATTAATAATGTCAGGACCACACAATTTTATTAATTTGAAGAGGTATTAATTAATCGATGAATTAATAATTTATTAATTTAAAGATTTTTTTTCCAATTCAACGAACCTACATTATTCTACATGAATAAAACATATATATTATATTGACTAATTGAATGATGTTGATGTACAACGAGACTAATTAAATATAATACATACTCCTGAAAAAGTTCATTGTAATACATACTTTTAATGCAATTTCATGTATGGTAAGGAAAGTTAGAGATGAAATACAATTAGATTTAAATTTTAAGAAGAATCAAACAACAATAAAATCATATTTTACTAAGTTTTCCTAGTTATATTTTTAATTTTATAGAATTTTTAATTTATAATATTGAAAGAACCATAAATTTATATAATTGTCTTTCAAAAAGTTATTATCTTATTAATTTATCGAAATTATTAATTTAAACCTTAGACCCAAGTCAGGATAAAAAATATTTTAAAAAATTATTAATTTATCGATTATTAATTTATAAAATTTCTACTATATATCAATCAGTGTACAATTGTTTCAGAAAACAGTGGTCACAAGCAAGAGTGTAGAGTACATGCCATTTTTCCTGTCGTTTTTTTCTGTTCCTAAATGGAGGAATATGGGCATTCTATGCATTCCTGGAGCAAGATATTTTCCTGGGGGTAATTTATCTCTTCCTTTTCTGTTTAATTAATCAAAAAACGTGATTAATTTCATTTTGAGAATTCAAATTCTTAAATTCGGATTTATTCTTTTAAAGGGAAAATGATGCAACCTGTATAATAAAACACATACAAATATAATATGGGTAAAGTACACAAATGGTCCCCATACTATAGAGTATCACTTTATTGAGTCCCTTTACTACTAAAAGCTATAAAATGATCCTTCGACTGTAGGGTGTTGCTTTGTTGAGTCCCTCGACTATTAAAAGATACAAAATGGTCACCTAGCTATTCATATGTTTCATACTTGTCCCTTTTCGTTAAAAAAATGTTGGTAATCTGAGCTGGACTTTAACATGTTGACTGATATAAGATAGTCGTTTGAGATTCTGATATCATTTTTTATCATATTTTAATCAACAAGTCAACATCCAACTCAGACTGTCGTCAATTTTTAACAAAAAATGACAAGTTTGGAACATATGAATAGTCAGATGATTATTTTGTAACTTTTAATAGTAATGGAACTCAACAAAGTAACACTCTATAGTCAGGGGACCATTTGTGTACTTTATCCATATAATATTTATAATTATTTTAAAATTTTATCTCAAATTTTAGTTTTATTTATAAAAATCATCATTATCTCAAATTTATTTTTATTTAGGTAAAGAGCATAGAATATTTAAAATTAATTTATTTTTATTTTACTTTGGGTGTTTGGTTGATTATAGGTACCAAATGGAATAGGTTTTGTGCTTGGAACAGCACAACTAATTCTTTATGCCATTTATAACAATGCAAGGCCATCAAACAACAGCATCTCACAAGGATTATTGGAACAAGGCTTGCCAAAGTAGCTTACATTATAATTGCAAATGAACTATCTTCCTACACATATATTGGATTGTTTTTATTTTTTATTTTTTATTTTTTTCTTTAATAAGAGAAAAGTTGATATTATGATTTGATATTAATTACTATGAATTTTCTTATTTTCTAATAAGGGTTTTCTTTATCGAATTACAATTATAAGAAAATATTACATTTTATATTAAAATTTTAAAAATAGTCATAAATCTCGATCATAAATAGTGGAGAATTGATGGAATTCGTTGAACCTTCTATGAAAGTTGAAAACTGCTTCTTCTTCCCCTTCCCTTCTTCATCTTCTTTATTTTACCCGCCATTTTCACTTCTCCAAGAGTGTACTCAACCCACTCCAACAATTTCCCAGATCTCGGCTCAATTCCAATTCCAAACCAACCAACACAGCTACCTTAACCAAAATCCTCAACCCACCAACCATATGGCTAGGTTTATTAGCCCCAAACTGACTCCGATGAAACAGATGGGTTCACCAACAAAACCGACCAAGCTTTACCGAGGTGTTAGGCAGTGTAACTGGGAGAAATGGGTCGCCTAGATCTGACTACTAAAGAACCAGACCCGTCTCTGGTTAGAAACTTTCGAAACGGCTAAGAAGGCAGGCTTGGGTTACGAAAAAACGGCCTATAAACTAAGAGGTTACTTGGCGAGACTCAACTTCCCTAACCTTTGCCACCACGGTTCTCACATTTGTGGCATTTTTAATGAGTATAAGTCTTTGCAGTCCTCTATTGATGCTAAGCTTGAATCCATTTGTGAAAGCTTTGAACAAGACCGAAAACAAGGGAACAACAAGAAGAAATCGTCCAAGGAAACAGTTGAGAACAAAAGCAAGGGTCAAGAAAAGGCTGTGAAGTTGGTGGACTCGTATTCGTCTGTCTCTAGTTCCGTCGGACAATGAGGTATCATCCATCAATCATTCCTTCTGCAACGAGAATCATTACTTTTAAGTCTTGGCCTTTGTCAAAATGTGCTCTTTTATTAGTAAATTTGTTGCGTTATTCATCACATTTTGAGGAGTCCATGTATATTTGATGAAATCACCTTGTTAGTTTATAAAAAAGGATTGTCCTTTTGAGGTCGTATTTTGTGTTTAACGGTCATTTCTTGTCTGAAATTAAGGTTGTTGTATGAAAATCTATGTGCATTAGGGAGTATTTCTTGTTTTGAAGTAACTTGGGATTTGATAGGTCATATTTCTTGTTATCCTTGAAAACTTAGGTCTCTCTGTTGATCTTTGGGTGTTTTCTCGAACCTCATGAAGATCGTGAAACTCTCATTATTGAACAACTCTATTACCGATGTGGGAAAGGGAAAGGGAAGAAGAAACAGTTTTCAACTTTGAAAAAAAAGTTCAACTTCCATCAATTCTCCATCATTAGTGATCGGTCAACGGCCAGGTAAGCTTTCAACGGTCCAGGTCAGCTTTCATCACCCAATTACGATAGTTAATGTTGAGTGATAAATTTGTTACAAATCGATAACATTAGTAACTAATTCATAACTTTTGAAAGTTCAATAGGAAAAATGAAAATTTACTCTAAGTTTATTGACCATTTATCAAAATATTATATCTAACAAAGTGATCAAGTTGTCAAAATTGTTTTTAAGTTTAAAAGGTATTTTCCTAATAAAAATGTGTATGTTTGATAAGAGAAAATCATAATGTATTGTTTGAGCTAGGTATACAGTAAATAAAACCCGAATCAAAGTCAAATTATGTAAGGGAAATGTTAAAGAACACCATCCCCAAAAAAAATGTTCATGTTGTCATATTAAAAAAGGTCTACAAAGAAAAGGTTTAGTAATAATCCCAAAGTAATATACCAAAAGAATAAAATAATAGATATGAATAGATAACTCGATAAACTTGTTTGTGAAATAAATTGAAAATAATAAGAAATTTGTGTTAAATTTCTTATTAGAGTTAAATTAGGAGTAAATCAAAGTCAAATACAAACCCAAGGCCATAATTTTATTAAACATCTTGAATTGAAGACCAATTTGAAGTTATTTGATAAATTAAGGCCAACAATTTTTAACCAATTCTAACTTAAGGATCTAATTGGAAGGGTATAAAGTTTGGGAATCAAGGATTTATCAAAATAATAAAAACAGAACCTAATCAACACAAATTAAGAATCTACAAGCCAATTTTTATTAAATTGTTTTGATTGAGGGGCCTAATTAAAATATGTCTGAAATGTCCATGCTTAAATCTAAGATCGAATTCAAATTTTATTACCTAATTTGGAAACCTAAAAAGATACGTGGCTAAAAAGACAATTTTCCTATTTCTCAAGTTAGGGCATGTATATATTAATGGGTCCGATCAATCTACGTGAGTGTGTAAAAAACAATATTGTTTTAGAGGTACTAAAAGTTATCCCCTACATGACACTACATAAGGGGAGTGTATAATGTCACGCCTCAGAACCTTCAAGCCCAAACTGTCGGAATATCAGAGTTAAGGTCTGACGGGTCGTCTGACCTTAGACGCTTCTTGACACTTCTTGGTCTTCTCTGCGACTAATTAAACCTTACCCAAGCCTAAGAGCATGCAAACTCACAAAGGTTGGAACCAAGCCCTCAAAGCTTCTAGGATTACGAAAGCTTTAACACCAACGTGGTTACTCCAAGCCACCAAGGTTGTATTATTGTGTGGAAGTGCAAACATAAGTGTGGGTACTCCTGGCCACCAAGATAGGCAACAACACAAAGAGAATAAAGAACAAATAACACTGAAAGTAGAGTAAATGCCTCAGAGCTTTATTACTCTCCAAAGATAATGAATGGAATGAATGAATACAAATGAGGAGGGGAGGCTCTCTATTTACAGGTGAGCCCCCTCTCAGTCAATGGCCTAGATCGATTTACATCAACGGCTAAGATTTGCCCAATTAATTACAAATCCCTTAATTCAAGGAAACCTAACCCAATTACATCAATTATGAGGATTCTTTCCTTGGATAGGTGTTCACACTGGATATGGTAAGATTCCCCCACAATATCTTCCTGATTTGTTATCTCTTGCCATATTTACCGAGCTCTTGTGTTTATCTTCGGATTTGATGCCACTTTCCTTTTCTGCACGACCAATGTGAACGGGTTCTATAGCATTCTCCAAGTGATGGGCCAAGTCTGGTGATATTGGAAAGCCCGATACTCTATTCTTGAAACTCTTTGTCAGACACTTACACCAATGTCTCGGACCAAAGTTCATAGCCTGTGATATTCTCCCCCACCAAAACTAGCGACGCCCTCGTTCTTACACTCGACGATCATGGGCGACATCACCTTGTATACTTTTCAACTCCTTGGCTTGTTGCGATCCTCCCATACGAACTGCTTGCCTTGGCTTCTTCCGCATGTAACTTCACGATCCCTCACCCCATACTTTACATCAACTTGGTTGCCTTTCAACGCCTCCACTTGCTCACGTCCCCCATAAGGGCTCGGCCTCCCATAAAGGTTGTGCTTGCTTCAGCTATTGCCGCCAAGTGATAAAATGGGCTAACACACCCACAAGTAACCCTCCGTCGTAGGAACCCTTTCCTACAAATCTTGATTTGTCTCGTATTAGACCTTCCTGGCCCTGTGGAAAAGTCTTGGATCCCCTCCAAACTTTGTTTCCTCTACGCTAAAAGTTAGGTCTTACTTGACCTATGCTCACTAAAGACAACAAATCAAACTAAAAAGAACACTAGAATTGTGTTGAGATGTACCTTCCCCTTTGATTTTGTTGGCATTTACTTAAAAATGCGTTAGCCCTTCTTACTCAATGAAGTCTGGCACTCCTTGCATCGAACCCTTGTCATTGGATTTCTTTGCGCCACCATGCATCAACACTCTCTCATGGAAAAGTTCGATGCCCCTTCTTGCCTCTTCCCTTCTAACACAAAGGTTGGAGCTCACCTCCCACCTTGTAAATAGCTAGTTTCTCCATGGTTGCCTTGTCCCTTAATGTCTTGGCCCCCTTCAACTTTGTCTAATAGTCTCTAAAGGACTATTCTTTACTTGAACATCCTCGGTAAGCCCCTTCTTTGACCCTTTTCTTATGATGGTCTCTGACGCCATGTTATCTACACGAACATGCTCGTCAAACTCCTTGGACATGGGTAACTTTTTCTGCACTTGTCTCTCACTCGCCTTGGCAGAAACAAACTTTATTGAGCCAAGTCTCAACACATCTTCTATCCTAGGTTCATCATCTTCTCTAGACAACTCGATCCTGGGCTTATCCATCACCTTGGATGACTTAGCTCCCCTTAGGTAATCTTGCAATACTTCTAGCATCTTAAGTTTGTGACCCTTCGTTTGCTCGACTCTTACCCTCACCTTAGCATCATTGAGACTTGAAATTATGCCAAGTCTGCACACATTTTCCTTAGACTCACCATCTTGTTCATCATTGAGTGGACTTTTTCTGCTACTCGAGGAACAACATTCCTCAACCTTTAACTTACCTTCATCACATATTCTCTTTTTGTTACCCTCAACTTTTGGCTTTGCTTTGGAAGTCTTGCTCTTCTTGACTCCAAATTCTCTGATAGACTCGGCGGTTGTCAAGGCTTTATACAACTCATTGACTTCCCTTCACTCCAACACTTTCTTCGCCCATGGCTTCAATCCGAACATGAAGGTGAAGAACCCATCTTCTTCAGTCAAACTCGAGACTTTGAGCATGAGTTTTATGAATCGGCTCACGTACTCCTTAAGTGTCCCTTTATGCCAGAGACGCCTCAACTTGGACCACGCCTCCATCCTGGCATATTGTGAATGAACTTGTTCACTTTGCACCCTCAGCTTGACGGCTTTATGTGTCGCTATCGCATCGGTCTCTTTCTGTGCTTGACTGCTTTGACACTTGTAGTCTCGTCACATCTCGATCCTGGGTTGACTACTTGAGAACTTGTATTCGCACCATGCTTGCTCTTGGATTCGACTACTTTGGAACATGTAGTCTAACCAAGTCTTTCTCCTGACTTATTTACTTGGACGCTCGAAATTGCATCGATCTTTCCTCTAGGTTTGACTGCCTCAACATCAACAGTCGCAACTTGTATTATTTTTTTCTTGACCG